GATGCTCGTCGAAAATTTTGAATTTAACCCCTAAAGGAGATCGATCTGGGTTTGGCCCAAGCTTTTTTTGACCCCTAAAAGAGACCAAAAAATATACATATCAAATATATATTTTTATATTTTTTCGCGTGCAACCCTAAACGAGACCTTCACGGCTAAATATGAAGGGTTGGTGGACCACTTAGCAACTCACGCTTCGCATGCTTAAACGTTTTAAAAACCAAATTGACTGCACTGCCCTTCCTCGTAGTTTATTGATAGTGAAGTACAATGACGTACTGGGGTTATAAGAAGAAGACCTTTCAAAATAATATTTTGTCTTGACAGATCAGTTCGTAGTAAACAAGAGAATGGCAGTAAAAATTAAGCAACCCCGTGTAAGCAACTTTTTCACGCTCATTACATTTATGCCGACTGAAGATCTGCAAGCTAAACCGGCCGATAGGATTAGCCTACGTAGCAAGCGTTTCTGAGCTAGTTCGTCGAGGAAAATCTTTCATTTCTTTTACTCAGACTAATCGGAGATTCATACAATAACTCGATTGGAAACGGTGCGTCTACGCAGGCCACGATATGACAGACCGACTTATCCCACATGCATTGCCAAACGGGTGTCGAGCTACGCCACCTCACTGCATTAATATTGTTACCATGTTAGGAAGTATTTCAAATTTTATTCCTCGTCATTTAAAATCCGCTCCGCTCAGTTCTAATTCGTTGTCGGATAAATAAACACACTCCTTTTTTCGGTCACATATGTGTTCCCGTGACCATAAACCGAGGAAGGTCGAAGACACCAACGCATTCAGTGATTATTAATCATATATGGTTCTGGGGAGGTTGGCGGTTTCCCTTTGCATCGCACCAATGCAAACGTAACTGCCTTTCATAGGTAAAAAGTCAGTTTTTTCTTACTAAATTGAAGGAGGTTTTTTCAGCTCGATCGCCCGGCTGAAACTTAATTTTTTTTTTCAGTAGCCCTGCTTCAAGCGTCAACAGTCAGAACAGTACAGTATCACCTTTCGCTTCACACCCAGGAGAAGAGGGCACTAAGATTCGAGGAAGTTGAAACAAAAGCCGGAAAAATCGTATGCTCTGTTTGACACATTGAAGCTCAGCTGACATATACTATGAAGTGCCAGAGGGAATGGGGAAATGTGATTCCTTTCGGACGGGAGTACGTGATATCGAGTGCTGCTTGCGCTAGGCACACCTTTGTTTTGACTGTAAATGCAGACTGAGGATACAGTGAAGAATCTGACAATAGCTGTTCTTTATACCAAGCCTTCGTTAAAATTAATGAAGCTCGTTATACTTGAGTTGGGCTGTGTACATTCAGGATTTGTAGACCAGAATTCCACTAAAATTCGTATGTCAGCGCAGCTATATCCCGGCCCCGAGAGCTATGGTTTCAGCGCAAAACACAAGTGACGGCATTTGCGTGATTACGGTTTAGACATTTACCGCATTGCCTAAAACCCAGTTTAGAAATGTTACTTTAAGAACGGAAAAGGCAGGATCAGTATTACCACATGAGTTCATGCTTTCGTAATTAGGAAAAAGCCATTCAAAACTACTTCCTCAACAAGCTTGCTACAAGATCACAATCAAGACACGGTGCTGATTGCTGTGGTTAACATAATTAGAAAGGATTAAAGATAGTCATACAAGATAACATAGTCGGATAATACTGCTCGCACTCTCGCGAGCTCTCAGCGGACACTGAGCAGACTTAGCACTAGACGCAGATCAGGAGATAAAATTAGTGCTCCAGTCGGCCGTCGATCAGCAGTTACCAGTTATTGTCCATGATTGAGAGTACGTTCTTGCATGGCCTTTCGTTTTCACACTGAATAGACAGTTTGCACATTGAACAATTAGAAAATCGTGAAATAGGCCTTCATTAATCTTCAAATATCTTTTATAATTATTACGTACCTGTTTGTAATTTTAGTACTGAGTTTAATCTAAAAAGAAAAGAAGAAAACACACCGCTCTCCTTGAGTTTTATTTTCTCTGTCTTAATACTCTATATTGTGAGATTATTGTCTCTTGTCTATAAACAATATAAGACCTGATCGTACGAAATGAACAGAAGTATGAAGGCATCATGAAAAAAGAAAACAAACCAACAAACAAAAGCAATAATGAGACTTTGAAACAAAGGAAAGACTTGCGTTAATCTGCATTGATTTGTTTGAAGGATTGTTAGCAACCTGCCTGCCTTTTTCATCTGTCCCGATTTTACCGGCTTCGTGTCATAGTGCCTTTCTGGAATGAACACGCGTACGCATGCTTGATGTACGACGTGGCAGAAAATTACTTTTTGAGAATAATTTTTGTGTCTTTTCAGCGATGGATTGAAGTGATTGCCAAAATTAAGCTATTACTCTTCTAAATTCCAAGTTAAGCCCATAAAGAATGCAGTAGCGTTCTTTGCTCTTTATTTAAGTTTAATTTTTTGGAATCAGTCGCTGTCCTTGAAAGGGGTCTTTTCGTAAACAAACACCATGCGGTTTGTTGGGCGAACACGCCCTTCCTTCAAGTGAGTGGGTCACTTGTTTTAAGAACTGATTTTATGGCTCTGTTGCCGGACCTTTTAAAGCCTCAATATTGTCGTTGTTTGCCATGTAATAAATCTCTTTTCAAGGCGTTTGGTCCGTGGCGGCTCTAATGGAACTTACCGGACGTTTAATCCCTCAATATTCTGGTTGTTTGCGATCTAATAAATCTCTTTTCAGGGAGTTTGTTTCCCCTCGGCGGCTCTAATTTAAAAGGAATTTTTACGGTTCGATAGCGGAACGCTGGTGTAATTATTCTTAGTTCAGATAAATTAAGAAATGGGCAGGGATTAATTGTAATCGTTGTCAAGTGTAGACCACCCAGAGGCATTATATCTCAGCTCCGAACTTTTTGGTCTTTTCGGATTTTAGCAACGACTAAAACTGTTATATCGCACTTGAAATCACTGTTTCAATTCAGTAAGCTGGCTTAATGGCCTTCATAATGAATTTCACATTTCACAGAATACGTGCAGTCGGTCAGTTTTAATTTAGTACATGGGCGATATTAACAGCGTTCCGATAAACAATGTAATTTTCCATTGAATCTTTGATGTGGTCATGATTTACAAGAAAATGCATGAAAACAAAGAAAGATAGACAAATATAGAAATCTATAATTAAAAACAAAAGACGCACTGACGTGAGTTGGCAATTTGCTTTGTTGGTTATCCTTTATCAAAGGAGGTTTCGTGAGTGGAAATTCTTCAGGACTTAAAATGTTGCTTTTTTATGCGGCGAGAAAACTGAGAAAGATAGAGTAAATACGATCCCAAATAAAATAATAGAATAATGCCCTTTGACGTCTTATTTTATTGCAGCACAGAACGCAGTCGTTGGGTAGTTACAAAAAAATTCCTTTATCAACCTAAGACGAAGTCTTGTCCGCAGCAGACTCTGAACCTAGTTTTGAGTGCTTAACCCCCCGTGTAATCCCAAAGTCATTCACAAAAAGATTTTTTCAGACAATCGCCTCAGAGCATCTGCTACAAAGTTGTACGAAATGCTGAGCGAAGTTGCTACTGAAATCAGTTGCTTGTCCAAGTGAGATCGAAGGCTGACAAGGTTTGAGAGGGTATTAAACTGCAATCAGGTGTTTTTTAAAGATTAGGGCATGATCTCAGGTTAAGAAGACCTAAGATGGTATAGCCTAGGACAACTTCCAAGTTAAAAGTCAGTCTACCAGTTTACTAAAGAAAACCGACGATGGACGAATAGTTGAAAGTCAGGAAAGAACAGAAAGAATGCCATTTGCACCAAAGCCCAACATTGGCCGTAAAACATTCTCTGTTCTTTGGCTCGAGGGCTATGGCGAGGTTTAAGTCCAGATCATATGCACTTTTTGATAGATATCCGGCGCGGTGCAGATCATGACTACTAGCCAGTAAAGATACAAGTTTAAATTATGATTATTAGCAGTATAAACTCGTACATCACCATGGGATGAAGCGATTTGGAAATAAAATGGCGGCCTCGTGTCGTGTGCCGTGTCTGTGGCAACTCCGTACATCCGTAACTCACTTGGGAGCGTCACCGGCACCACTAAAACAAGCTAACCTCTCTTCTGCCTTAAGAACCTTAACTTCTTCAGCATGCCCGCGAGAATTCTATCATTTTGACATGTTATAAGATCATTTACTACATACTGTGGCTTTATGATCATCTGTCTGTATGCGCCCTACTAATTTTACATATGATGTAGAATTTTCCGAAGCCGTGACGGCGGGTCGCTTGATTACATTCAGCCCACGCCTTAACGCGGCAGTGCACATCGTTATGGGAGCTCGCTTCATTTTGTGTTGTTCAAAGCCATTTTTTCCAGATAACAAAGGAAATCGCGCCACGAGGAAGCCTTTCGTTAACTATAAAAGCTAAAGACAGTAAATTGTACTTCCGGCAAACTGAAATCCGCTTCAACTTTTATCCTACGATATACATCACGACGCGCCCACTTGTCGCATTTCATGATTGCAAATTACATCGCAGGATTATGTCATAGACGCTCTGACGGGAGCTCGCCGGGTCAAGCTACTGACACTGGGGAGGGTTAAAATGGTTATTTCATTTTTCCATGTTGCTATTGATATATTGAATATATTTTTATAAAAGAGTGTTTTAAAGTTTTTAGACTATCTATTATGTTTACATGCAATTAATTTTGTGTTAGAGATACCGGTGTCAACAGATCTTTAAGAGAAAGAAAATATCAATTACCCCCTCCCTCTTAGCCCAGCTTTTGTCATCTCCCCGGGGCAGTTATTTGGATTGGCACGCAGAAAAGAAATGAGGTGGTTTTGTGGTAGGTGACGTATTTCCTAAAACGATTGTACTTGTAGTAGTTAATGGTCCTCGTCGACAAGTTGCTCTTTTATTACGTCCTGCCGTGCGTGGTTGGAGTAAAGAGGCAAGATCATATCGTGTGTAGCAGTAGATTGAAAGATGGCGATAAGCTTAGTGATGCGAAGTCGTCGTATATTGACTGTTGTTTATTGTTTATGGTTGCTTTGCTCTGGGACCGTTGCAAAAATATTACCTTCGATTTTATGGAATCCAGAAAACCCTTGGTGAGTATTTCAACATCTTTGTCTAAGCATTTCCTTTTACTGCGATCGTTCCTTGTCACTGTTTTGCCGGTTGCTTTAAGGCGCGTTACGCTGTACTGGAGATTTATAATGTAAGCTGAAGTTGATCAACTAGCTTATATTCCACAGAAAAGCTTGGAATTTCATCACTTTTTAACGACTAGTAAATTGTTTTTACGGTTACACTTAAATCTTATCTTTCCTTTGTTTTTGTCGTGTAAATGAAAATGGATTCATTGGCTCTAGTCTTAAGCAACATACATACTAAAGCTTACATTCCTTGTAGGTTTAGTAGCTTCACGTGCGTGGAGTGAAACTCATGAGTTGGCTTCCCTTAAATTTTCATCTACATTAGTGGAAACGTTTTTGCTATTTACTGTACTACTATGTTTTATTAGCAAACAACATGTGAATAAAAATTGTTTGGAAACAAATAATAGTGGCAAATTGCCCGAGTGCTTTCAAGACTGAGCGGAATGTTTGCGTTTGTGCATGTTCTAAAAGTAAACTCTTACATGTATTGAGCCTTAAGTATTAAGCCATAAATTTTATCACATGAATGTTGCTGAAAACATAAAGTTTAATTCTTGGTAAACAATAAACTGTTGTTTATTGTTTAAAGTTCTTGAGTGACAAGTTTTCTTGAATCCCACGTTTTGTTTGTGTACATTCAATTGCAAAGATACGAACTGATGAGACATGCTTTTGTATTTTTCTCGTTTAGGTTTAGCCACCTTAACAACAATGCAAGAAAGGTTTTGCCATTTGACAAACTGTCAATAAGGTGTCCGAACTTGATGGACTATCCCATTGAAAGAGACAATGTTTATTCCAAAGACAAACTTTATGAGAATTTGTTTATGGTTGATAAAAAAGGTTTTGACAGCTGCAATGCAACTTTGGGGCTCAAACTTTTATCCTGTGATAACCCTGATGTGCCAAGTGGACATGTAACAGTTGTGTTTCAGCCACAGAGTGCAAATGAAAATGACCCTAAATTTGAGAAAGGAGAAGAATACTACTTTATAAGTAAGTGTTTGGCAGTCTTCAATGGCCTGGTAGACATATTTCTTCAGGTCAATATAATATACATGAACAAATTTCTTGAATCTGATTGGCTTACAAGAGCAATGGATTTTTTAGTAAACACAATGCAAAATCAATCAACAAAATATGATGCAAAAAGGAAAATTAATAAAGCAAACATCTCAGAGAATAGAGCACTGTGATTGGCTAATAAACAATAGGAATACACTGTAAGAACCAATCAGGTGCCGCAATCTTTATTGGCCACTTTAAGGTTGTGTGGGACACTGGGTTGGTTTGTGATGATTTGTGAGAACGTGTTTTGGGGATCAAATTTTTTATGTATACAGTTGTTAAGGGTAATCATACAACAATTTATTTGCATTCCTGTGTTTTCCAAAAAGCTCAAATTTATGGGCTCGTGCGATTTTGGGCTTTGACCTTTTGACAGTTATTAGGTGATGATAGTATGTGTATGAAAATGATACAATTTCCTGTTTATGGTTAGATTTCAACCTTAAAATAAAATACAATGACACTGTAATCAAAGAGAAGAAAAGGGACAGTGTTTTTACGTGCAGCATTGCATTGCTGTTTGTTTTATTTCAAATAATACTGTACTGTGTATGTGACTGACAAATACAATATTTAGTATTGCTTCTGATAAAATATCAAAACAATTAAAACTGTCAGTAGAGTCTTAAAAGTGATATTATTAAGGTGACCCTGATGAATTGGAACCTTCTCAAATGTTGACACTTTGCTGTGACCCTTCCATGTCCAAACGGATGCATCTGTAATGACTACATGTAACATCTTGATTATGTAATTTATTAAATTAAAATAAGCAGAATTTTACATATAGAACACAGTGATCACTGTAACTCAGTCAGTTTAAAATATGAACTGTTTCATCTCATTTACAGATACAGCATCTGGATTAATTACCTCATTAACAAACTTGGAAGGCGGACGTTGCAAAGACAACCAGATGAAAATGAAAATTTATGTGTGCAAGGAGGGGAATGACCCTAAGTGCCCACATGGAAATAAAGGTAAATTGTAGTTGCTTGCAAGTTGAATTTTTCAGTGGAATATTCAGCTTATGTGTGTAAACAGTGTTATAAATTAATATGCACAAGCACACAAAGTAAAGAGGAGTTAAAAGATTCAGAATGTTAGTATTAAAAAAAATGTACTAAGAACTGCATTTTGGGCAAGATATCTCCGGAAGAACTTCTCCCATATTCTTTTGTTGTTCTAAATGAAAGCACTTGATGGGGTTGGGCTTGTTGGGTCCCTATAAATGAATCCTTTCTGCTCGTTGTGGCATGGAATATTAAAACAAAAACAATTAGCAAAATATCCAAAAAGTTAAGTTGTATTGTTTTATTCTTTTGTTTCTTTTCTCAGTAATAATATTATAATCTGCCACGACTGTGCCAGTTGTTGCAGAAGGAAATGGATTTGTCGGGTTCTGAAACTTTGGCTGGTTTGGCTTTGAACCAAATCAATTCTTGCCATGCTGGGTGTGGCTGGCTCAACCATAAAAATGATGGGAGTGCTAGTTGACAAAATTGTACATAATTATGGGATTTTAATCTAATGTTGGGTATTTTTCCACTGTAGTTGTGCATGGTGGTTGGTCTGACTGGAGTGAGTGTACAGGTGGCGGCCTTCAGAGTCGGAAATGTAACAGTCCTTATCCAGAGAATGGTGGATTACCTTGCATTGGTGATGCTGAAAGAGCCTGCACAACAAAAGCTTCTCAAGTGTTGGGCTGCAGGGGCAACTCATGTGAGTAGCAATTGCAAACTTTCATGTAGGTACAGCAGCAGTACTTGTCTGTAGTATAGAGGATCAGGTGTTTAATTTACTAGGAAATTTAGAGAACCGTTATAAACCCATTACTTTGTATTTCTGGCATGTATTGCAAGGAAAGTCGCCAATCAGGTGTAAGAAAACTTAACTGCAAGCATGAAGTCTGTCGATATGTTTTGATCTTTTTTGACAATTGTGGCCAAAACAATCAGCAGTCCTGGAATATTTCAATCAGGTGTTCACCGTGTTCTGATCGATTTTGACAGTAATACCAAAGGTACATTGTTAGTTAGTCAGAATGCTCTGGTTGGACTAGCATTTTTAGCCTAAAATCACTAATTATATGGGATTGGCTTAATGTAGGTTTTTGTAGTAATAAGCTGGTTTTTGTTGGTCTGTTTTAATCTCAAAATTTTTTTTCTTTACTTTTTTACATGTAGGTTCTACTGTTACAACTAAAGGAGAGCCAGGTACTTATTCATATTAATAAGGCTACATATCTTTGGTCCTTCAACTTACAAACGTAGAATTCTCAGTGGTTAAGATGTGCTCTGAGAAAAATGGCAAAATTAATAGCTAGGTGTGGTTCAAAGATCTGAGTTGTTTACAATGAGCCTGGGAATCCAGTATCCTTAGTTACTTTCCATTTTTGAAAGAGCCAGGAAAAGTTTCTTGTTGTTCAAAAGCAAAAACTATTAGTTGCCTGAGGCCAGCAGTTATGACTGCTAGAAGACAGCCCTGCTTGATGCTTTGAATAATGATTTCATACGTATTTTCATATTATTCTTACTAGTACAGTCTGTAATCCTTAAGTTGGTGGCTAAAACTGTTTTTTTTTTCTTCTTTGCTCCACCAGAATTCCCTTCCAAAGAAAGCAGAACAGGAGGTATGCATTTGTTTATGTAAATAAATGAATAAAAAAAAATCACCAGGCGTATATTATTAATAATGGTTTGTTAAGCATTGGACAAGATAAAACTGATGATAATAATTTAAATTTTACATTTAAGAGTCTGTTTATTGAGGTGATTGTATTGTGAGATCTTGCTGAGGTCACAGGTGTTGTCTAGATAACATAATAAAATATTTGTTTGTTGATTTTTGTGTAAACGGTTGCCGAGCAAGTAGCCCAGAGTAGTGAGTTTTCCTTGTAAAATGTGTGTGATTGGCAATTTCTACCTGCAAGCAAAGGTGAGTTTGACAGGTGAGTTGAACTCAGGGCACTGTGCTCAACAAGCCAGTCACTCATCATTAAACTACTCAGCTGGGTGAAGCTATGAGAGGCTTATTAGTACAATTTTTAATGTTATGCTTGAAGATAACAACAACACTATCAACAGCGCAATGTAAATGTTAGAAGTTTGCAGGTAGGCTGCAAGTGCCTATTCAATTGACCTTCATCTCGTTCTTCCTTAGACAATTTGACTGGAGATGACCTGCTGATTAACAAAGGCTTTTTTGCTGGAATATGTCTCATTATATTGGTGGTTGGGCTGCTAGTTGGTGGAGGAGTAACCATGCTGCTATGCAGAATGCAGAGAAAGAAGCCCCAAAAAGCTAGTAAGTACCAAACACTGACATCCATTCTTAAACAAGGTGCAAAGAAAGTCAGTTTTACAGCTTGCCATTCGGGAAAGCTATAGCCAGCATGTACTAGCACAACAGTCATTTCAACTAGCCAAAAAAAATTTTTGATGAGCAGGATTGAACACAGTTCTTCTGTAATTTGAATTCCCTAAAACAACTTTTCTTGCCTAACAGGCAAGTTCAGAACAGAATTCACTAGCCTGATAGCAAAATCCACTATCTATGAGCTATTGGACACGATTTCCTTGGCAGGCTGTTACTCTGAGTAAGGTACCTATGATTAACTTTCGTCAATCGGAGTTAAAAAGAGATCACATTTACAACATAAAGAAGTCACTACGTTAAGATCTCTTCGAGTTCATTTTCAAGGGCAAATAACAAAAAAATAATTTCTTTATATTTTGTTCTCAAACTTGAAAATCACCTCATAGAGGTCAGAATGTTGTGATTTGTGAATGTTAACTTTTATTGCAAAAATTACTCATCCATGTACACCATGATCTTCAAATAGCTCATTTTTAAACAAAAGTACAGCTGTACATACCTGTAATCATGACAATAAAGAACCTGCATTGAAATTTTCGTGAAAAATTTTCAAGTTTCGAAATTAAATGAGACTTTAAATTACAACTATATTGTACTATGGCTGTGAAAGGTTTGAACCCAGGAGTCATTTTAGAAGGTTGAGTTTGATCGTTCGGGTGAACGTAGTCCTGACGTCCTTGGGGTTTGTTTGTCACGCATTCATGGGGGAGAAATGAATGTGTGACAAACGAACCCCAAAGGACATCTGCGGGGAGGCTAGAATAGGACTGTTGTTGTTGACAGTGACTGACGTTTCAACAACCTGTGTGGTAAGCCTGTCAGTTAAGCCATCATGGCTTAACTGACAGACGACCAATAACATCGCGACATAATTGACCAATCAAATCAATAACCAGAGTATAATACCATCAACTGACGTGATACAACTCACTTTGACTCTGAAGATAACTACCGCACAGGTTGTCGAAACGTCAGTCACTGTCAGCAACAACAGTCCTATTCAGGACTACGTTCACCCGGACGATCAAACTCAACCTTTTTTTATATTGTACTATGTATAAATAAAATAACTTTTACTTTTCTTGAGATAGCTTATTTGAAAATAACATTAATTTTAATTGTCCCTCTCTTGTAGATGTCAAGATGACAAGGGTGCCTAGTGCATTATCAACAAACCGTCCTGTCTCATCATTTACAAATGTTAGCATGGGTTCTAAAAATGTGGAATGCGCATAACACCAAATACTCCATGACTAGCATGTTAGTGGAATTATCAACAAGTAGCAAGTAAGCCTTTAAAAAAATGTTGGCTCACACTGGATTGAGGTGATGTCAGTGTAGACAGGTTTGCAAAGCAATGAACTGACTTCACTGTACCTTATTACTCAAGGTGGGATAGAGATGAAGAAATCAGAGTTAGTTTTAATACACGTACTTGGAAATACATCACTGTTCACAGACAAATAGGTGGCGAGCTTCAACTCCCATAGAACTGGTCCACAGTGAATAATAACGGCCTTTATTTTCTAAGCACTCTGATCTTTTGATATGTTAAAATATGTATTTTAATTTCTAGATATATTTCTTGGTTCAAACTTTGAGTGGACAAGTACTTTTTTTGATCTATTTTGCCCCAGAGCATGAGTGGATTGAAATGAAATGTAGCTACACTTGTAGTGAAACATCTGAGTGACTTAGTGATTTCAAGGGTAAATGTATTTTGTTCCGAAAACAAATTGAATAATGTAAGCAAAAGTAATCATGTGGGATAAGTTTTGACAAAAATATTTTATAATCCCCTGATCCGCAAACCTATACAGTCATGTACATGTACATTCTTTCACCTCCTTGTAAGTCTTTAGGACAGGAGGAAATTATTTTTTTTGCTATTACCTACTATTACTATTTATGCTAGTATGGTATCTTTAGTCTGATTCCAATCATCAAAATACCACCTCACACTTAATAGCTTTTATTTAAATTTGTAAAAATCATCAATGTCATTCTGTCTCCAATGCCTTCTTACATCCTCTCTGCTTTAAGCTGCTGAGAACATTATTTATCTAGTAATTAAAGCTACAAAATTGTAAACAAATTGTGTCATTATAGCCACACTAGTACTGGACACGTTGTATAATATTGATTATTTAAGGGTTACTTGCCCAACATGGAAAAGATTTTATATAATTTATTTTTGCTACCAAGTCTGTATATATTCTGCAGTTTTTGTATCACTGGTACTTGGAATACAGTGTGATGGGGCATGAACAATGTACAACAACAATAAATTATTAGTTAAAAGAGCTTAAGTAAGCCGAAGCTACCTCTTACAGGAAAAATGGAATCAATCTTACAGTTGCTTAACTGTTGCTGTAATAAAACATTTTATCAAATGATATGAAAGCTGTGATATTTTTTGTTCTTCATACATTTCTCTCTAAGGGCTAATAAAAGTCAGTGAGTAGCACGTTATTTGTCTTAGAGATACAGAGTAATAAGAGTGAGAGAAACTGGCCAGCACAGAAAAAAATAGCCATTTAAAATTCCAAGCCATGTGCTGCCATGCAATATTCACAACCATCTGTGGGAAGTATTTTTCAGATTTAATTCCAGCTGCACCAGAACCCCACCACTGTGCTCAAACCTTCCTGACAGGAGGCCTTTTTTTGAGGCGATGGGTGTGGGAGGGGTAGAGTATTTCCCTTGTCAGAATTTCGAATTTCTGTCGTTTCATGTATTGAGCAGTAAGCCATGTTCCTGTCAGCTGTTGGTATTTAATGCATCCTTATGTTGTTTGTCACCATTTCACCTTTTCTTATGTCGCTTTTTCAAGGCCATGTTGCTTATAGGAACTTTACCCCAACAGAGCCTCATTAATAGGTTAATGTCACATCAACATGTGCAGATCTAAAAACAAAATTTAAAAACAAGCCTCGTTTTCATGCAGAAGCGAATTTTGATGATATTTTAGCTCCTAAAATATACAAGACAGCTACTCTTTCCGATTTGCTATCATAACTTTTTGTATTCACCCCCCAACTAAGCTTCAAATTTGTATCACTCCTAGCTGGTCCCTCTTACTGGTACATCTGAGATGGCCTGGCTCATGGATGTGTTTTTTTGCCTTTGCTGCGACGACAAGGAAGCAAATTAGGGTTCCCAAAACAAATGTTTGAACTCAAAAAACAGTAGACTTAGTTTAATCAGCAGCAGTCGAAATCTTTCCAATATATTATTCGACCCGGTCTCTCGACAAGGAACTGTTATTGATTGATTTGTTTTCTCGTTCATTTACATGAAATTCGCATCAAAAACTTCAAAATAAATACTCTCAAGTTAAAAAAAAAAAAATCAGCGAGTGTGGGCGATCACGAATTCGTGTTTGAACGACGTATTCGGTCAGTTTTGTTCTCGTACTTTCCGATAGTAACAACAAGCAATTGACAGCTTTGGCACTGTCTCTTTTCCATAGAAACAAACCCAGTGGTTACTTTGATGAAGCTGCTAAATGACTAATATATATTTTTCATTTTTCACCCAAAATAGAACTTTTTTAAAATGTTTCATTTCTCATCACCCCTCATTTTCCACGGTCAGGCTCACATTTCCAATCCTGTCGCCCCCGTCGCGGAGGGGCGGAAGGGGGTTTAGAAAAGTGTGCTTATCAAAACTTCACTCCTCCAGGGCAACTTTATATAAAAATTGTACTCCCTTGGCAATTGGCAATAGCAATATTTAAAATGCACCCCCTCCCCAACCCATTCTAGACCAAGTTTTAAGATAATCCGTTTTTCTCTTCTTCCTTCCTTTGGCAATGATTTCATTAGCGATAAGATACCGGTAGTCAAGGGCGTTGTGTGAGATTTTGAAGGTGTGCGCACGGGAAGAAAAGTTAAGGCGCCGAAGGCGCTCCAAATTTAAGGGTTCTGGGTGCGTGCTCCACCAGAAAATGTTTAAATTTAGGGTCTCGAAAATATCATCTCCTGTGTTTTCAGTAAATATAAACGAAAGAAAATGCAGTAAATAGTTGTTTATTTTACCCATCTCTAGTGTTATCGGTAAGGTGCAGTGTCAAGGGAACAAAGGGTAAAACAGTGAAGGTATCAAGGAGGTTACAAGCAAAGGGCGAGACGTGTACCCTTCAGACGGGCAAACTCTGTTACAACGCCATCAATATCAAACGTTCTTGTGCTTGTGTATGTACATCGCTAACGTGGATTTGCTTAAATCATAATATAGTTTGACAACTTTTACATAGAAGACCAGTCCTGTGTCTTAAAAGTTCTACCCCGTCTCATTTTGTACATTTTCAAAATTGAACTCCCAAAATTAAGCCTCCTCGAAAATTGTACCCCCCCCCCCCCCCCCCCCCCCCCCAAAAACCCCCCCCCCCCCCGGGGGGGTTTTAACCAAATTAACCAAATATACCCCTTTTTTGTTTTCCCCCCCCCGGGCCCGGAAAAACCCCGCATTTTCCGGCTTTTTATCAAAAAAATATTTTAAAATAGCAAAAGGGCGACTAGTGACCCCAGCTCGTGACCGAAGATCGGAACACCCCCCACC